AACGGGCCCCGCCCAAACTCACATAACGGGCCCCGCCCAACATACAAATCATATAAGCATATACACATACAAGGGTCACACAGACATCTAGTATCCTAACACATACAAGGGTTTCCAGAGGCTTAGAGGGTGAGAGAGGCTGATGATGGATAACCCTAGCCTCTTATTCACTTAAATACCTGAAAATTAGGATTTTGGGTCATTAAGCCACGCTCACGTCGTGAGACTTTATGCCTCACGCCGTGAGTTTCAAGAAACACGGGTCAATAGGTCAATGGTCCATCACGACATGATCCCAAAGATCTCACATCACGAGGTCCCTCATAATGCAAATAAAATAATGAATTTAGTACCTTAGTGTTCCGGATGTTACAACGTGTGAATGTTTGAAGTATATATACGGGGCCACTAACTTGAGCCACATCATTTTTCTGTGTCCTTTCAACATCCCTAATTTTGTTTCTTTTTTTACTTAGTTGACATTCATCAGATGATGAACCAAATTATAGAACATCAGTGTTGATCACCTCCACTTCCTCATTAGACATTACTGTATTATTTGTTGTAACAGGGATACCACCAACCCACTCTAAATTATCATCAATGTTGTGGTAGAAATCCTACATGTCCACTTCAGGGACACCCGACAAGTTATTCTCATCCATAAAGAAATCACTATCATCACTGTCACTTGCATCTTTACTACCCTCACTATTACTAGATCCACCAATGGGTTCACTTGCGGGTTCCACAACTGGTCACTAAATCATGGGCCTCGCCCGACATCAGACAATGTCCGGCATCGGGCCCCGCCTGACATCAGACAATGTCCGACATCAGGCCCCGACAGGCATCGAACCGTAGTCCGTTAAACATAAACATATCAACAATACACATATAATAAAGACATAATCATAAGCATATAAACATTCCTCGGGCACCGCCCGATATCGGATCGAGATACGTAAAACATATAAACATTCAACAGGCACCGCCCGACATCGAACCGTAGTTCGGCAAACATATAAACACCGACACATGCAAGAATCATGAAGATATCAAGCATATGAACATTCCTCGGGCATTTCCCGACATCAGACCGTAGTCCGGAAAGCATATAAACATTCATCGGGCACTGCTCGGCATCAGACCTTAGTCCAGAACATACTAACATACATATACGGGCCGACATTGGTGCCTTCGACCCGTTCCTATAGGAGGAAAACTCACCTCGCAAAGCTGAATCACTAATAGAAAAACAGCCTTTTACGACGCGCAATGCGTGTCGTAAAATGCTCAGACGACACGCAAATGCGTGTCAAGGAAGGCCCTGTCATAACGAGAGACGACACGCTTTTGCGCGTCGTCTATAGACGCCGCGCATTTACGACGCACATTTACGACACGCATTTACGACGCTCATTTACGACACGCAATGCGTATCAAGGAAGGCCCTGTCATAAAGGAAGACGACATGCATTTGCGTGTCGTAACCTTACGACGCACGTTTAGGATACGCATTGCGTATCATTAAAGCCCCTGTCATAAAAGAAGATGACACACATTTGTGTGTCATAAACTTCAACAATCATTTACGACACGCAATGCGTATCATTATATCCCTTGTCATATATGAATATGACACACATTTGCGTGTCATAAACTTAGCAGCCAAATAACGATACAAAGTTACGACGTGCATTTACGATACACATTTACAACATGCATTTATGTATAATACATAAACAAATATAATACCAAGCATTCAATTTCATCTAAATGTCAAATAATAAAAACATTATACACCACAAGTCAAAAGACAATGTTACCTAACATTTCACTATTATATTGTTTGTGTATACAAAATATCACCAGTAAATGAAGCCTATAACAAAAGTCGAGGTACCTAACATTTCACATGTATAGTTAAACAAGGCGCGTAACGACCACACCAAGCAATAGCTCTCTAGTTCTCCTGATGATGTCTTTTGATTACGAGCAGGAACAATCTTTTCCTACAAACAAAACAACATTCTAATGTTTGTTACAATCATGCAAGAAATAACAATGTACTCTCATATATTTGTTCACATCATAAGTTCATTAATTACAATATTGTAATTTTGTAGGTTTTTCAAAGTATGATCCCTTAATAAAAAAATATATATTGAAAGTAGGATGCTATAATAAACAAATAAATGAAAGTACTCTGCTATTTTCGCATTTATCCCAGCCAACTCAATAACTGAAAGTACCCTCTTATACACTTAACTCACCTTCTATATTGTGACATCCCCAAAATCACGGCCAGAAAAGAACGGTTTCATTTATGCTTTTAAAATATATTTAGAGTAAATCCATTGATTTAAAAGAGTTGCGGAATTTGTCCCCAAAAACATTACATGATAAAATAAGGTTTATCAAAGCATTTCTTAAAGAAATGTATTTTCATTATATATCAAAACTCGGGATGTCATGTTCCGATAAAGACACAAAAGCATAAACAATAAAACATAGACCTTACACAGTTATATATAACTACTGGTCTATAAACAAAAACATCTTCACAAGTTCTCCAACTTATGCTCTCGCGCCACTACCTGTAATACAAAGAAACTGAGTGGGTCAGGCTTGGGAGCCTGGTGAGCATATAGGGTTTTCAACCCACAATAAATAATTATATTCAATTCACCAATCAACAATAACCCGATTACCCATTCCCGTTATCCTCACTTTACGTCCCTAAAACAACAACTATCACAAGGGACCTAATCTAGGATTTTCATCGGGATGGACAATACTGCAAAGGGGTTTCCTCAGCAATGAATGTCCTAAGGCAACCATGAGGGGGATAGAATACAGCAAATGAACACCCAAGTTCACCAACACCTACAGGTTATGAGCCTGCCAGCATTCCACAGGACAGTCTAGAAAGAGTCTGTGGTCGTCATCCATATTCTGTTGAATGACTAGATCACAATCACATCGAGGCCTCTCATCAGTTTATCACACATCAACTATCTACCCAAGTTCTACCAAACATTTTTGTAGATAACAACATACATATGCATTCATATGCAACTTAAAAACTGATAAGATACTCGTTCAATACTCATCCCAAATAAACAGATAACATATATATACACGTATATTTATACACACGTAACACGTATTCTAAAGTAGATACTTAATATTTATGTGTTAGAAGAAATGGAATATACACTCACATAAAACGTATACTTAATACATTCAAACAATACTTGTATTAAATCGTGTTTATGAAAGAGACTATGCACTCACTTGATCAGAAGATGATCGGACAGCACTACGGCTCTAAAAGTAGAAGCTCTTCGGTGAAACTAGAAGGTCTTCACACACCGGGCTTCTCGCAAGAAGAGCTTCGGCTCGGAAACTCTTTTCTTCTCGGGATCTTCGGGCTGCGGGACTCGCTTCGGGTCTCGGGATGATACCGGGGCTTCGGGGGGTTAAAATAGGGCTTAGAGAGGGTATCCGGAGTGAGAGAGAAGGGATAGAGCAACCAAACTCGGCTGCCCCTTGAATTCTATTTATAGGGCCATTTTCCAGCTCTCACGTCGTGAGTTTGAAGTTCTCACGTCGTGAACTTAGTCGTCACTGCATGCGTCATCACAGGCTGCGTCTGACAGGCTCTGAAAGGTCAAATCACTGAGTTCACGTCGTGAACACTGTATTCACGTCGTGAACTCTGACACAGTATCGGGGTTCGCACCCCGAACTTCAGAAATTCATAACCTTCGCATACGAGCTCCATTTTCGACGTTCTTTATATCGACGCGTAGGTGAGACTATGATCTACAACTCTCGTTTAGACTCCGTCGGCTAATTTTGACTTTATTTTTATTATATTATTATTATATTATTTTTTAGTAGGCCGAGACAGGAAAACTCCGTTATAAATTCATAACTCCTTCATCTGAAGTCCGTTTTCGTCTGTCTTTTTACCGTTGGACTACTATCAATGAGATATTTAATTCTCATTTAGAAAGTTTTGGCTAAATATCACTCGATCTCTATTTCGAGTATTCGGGCTGCACACCACTAAGTCGAAACTTCGAAAAATCATAACTTCCTCATACGAAGTCAGATTTAGACGTTCTTTTTATGCACGCTCGCGGTTTAACGTATTCTACGACTTTCGTTTAGATTACTATGGCTAGATATCGCTCTATCTTAAATTCGTATTTTACGTCATTCAGCGTCGTGTCGGTTCTGTCTCCAAACTTCGACATATCATAACTTCTTCGTTATAACTCGGATTTCGGCATTCTTTATATATTCGGAAACCTCGTCACGACCACTACCACATCCTTCATAGATATTGGGTTTATCTAACATTTCATTTTGACGCTTATTTTTATTCTTAATTAAATTAAGACACACAATTAAGCACAAAACACACAATACTCAAATAATACACTTCTATTATTTCAAAATGGGTTACAAAGGTTAACCTAGACTATTACATCAATATTAATGCCTAGCCCAGAAACGCGGGCGTTACATATATGAAGCTTGTATAACCAGGATAACGACAACTTTGACATACTCTAAACAGAAAGTTGTGGATTTGAACCAGCTCGCGATGCAGATGCAAGAAATTTGGAATAAGATGTTTGTATCTGTATGGAAAAGTGTTGCATCATAAGGTTTGTTTCTATTATACACTGGAATAAGACTAAATAATCATGTTACCCTACATTCCAAAAAACAAATTTCACTATATTTATCAAATTTAACATGAGTTGTATTAAGCTAGGTTTTCTAGCTATCTATCCTATTTTAAGTGCTTAAGTCAAAAAGAAGCAAATGCATGTACCCACCCTAAGAGCAGACCCAATTACAACCAATACAGCTCCCATGTTATGCAAACCATTCCACAAAGCGGTATATATATATATATATATATATATATATATATATATATATATATATATATATATATATATATGTTTATGGAAACTTCAATTTAAGTTGATTATTTTAGACTTAGGTTTGTTCCTGAAATTCTTCAGAACAGCAATCCCATTGGTATCGGATTTCAGCCTCCTGTAGAATAACACATATGCAGCATTCGAATTGACATAATCTTCAATGATGCCTGAAACATGGCTATCATCAAACTCGTACCACCTATTCTCATTAATAATCTGCATGTATCCAATCCATCCCACAAAGCAGAAGTCAAAATAGTAAGAACGAATATAAACTTATTAAAACAAGTGTAAAGTTTGTGAAGGAGCAAAATACCTTGACATGTGCAGTATAGTGCAGTATAATGACACCCCTATTTCATTAAAGATGGTTAAAAATATGTATAAAAAAACTTACATGCCTATCAAATCTACCAGGTCTTGTTAAAGCCGGATCAAGAATATCAGGCAAGTTTGTCGCAGCCATCAAAATTATGCCCTGTTATAAAAATTAAGTTCACAGCTCTGAAGAAGAAGAGGGGTGATAAGTATAACAAGAAATAAAAAACAAAAAAGGACTTGACTTTTCTGTGTGTACCTCATTTTGTTCAAACCCGTCCATTTCCACAAGCAGTTGATGAAGTGTTTTCTTTGTATGACCTTCCCACTGCTTTCTAGTGGATCCAACAACATCTATCTCATTAATAAAGATGATACATGGAGCCTGAAACAATCAGTAACACGTTTAGTCTAAAACATAAATAAATCTGTTCTGATTCTGAAAAAGAACAAGACAAGACAAACCTTCTTCTTTGCTGCTTGAAACAAAGATCTCACCCTCCGAGCACCCACACCAACAAACCTAACACAGGAAAAAGAAGCATGCAAGCATTCAGTCTATATAGTTACAAACTTACAGTTTAGTGCTCGTGAAACTCATTGTTCTATGTCATCATGTAAGCAATTTGAAAGCATAAAATTGATACAGTTTTTCCCACAACACAAGCACTCGAGCATTATGTTTATAAAAGTGTGATAAAATTTACTTACATTTCCTCAAACTCGAAACCTGCCCGGTAGAAAAATGGAACCCCACCTTCTCCAGCAATCGCCTTAAAATTTGTCATAATCAGAACATAAAAAAAAGGAAGTATGGTGAGGTTGATGCCATGTCGTGGGTGGGTCAACCAAGGAATTCGGTTCCACTACTTAGGAATAAAAATATGAGTATTCAACCCAAATATACAAACATGTCTATTATGTATACACACACCACACCACCTTAAAACGTTTCTAAAACAAATCAAAATTACAAAAAAAAAATCTATCAAGGGGTAAATTTCATCAAAAAGAAAAACAAATTAAAACACTATAGATGGGTTTTTGGAAAAATATTAGCACTAGTCTATGAAAGCTTTGACATAACCATTCTTTCTTCTCTTCTCTTCTCTTCTATGGAACCAACTTCTTCTTCTTCTTCTAACAATAAACCAAGGGAAAAAGGTTGTAGGGATATTACATCTCTTCCCCCACCCAATTTACCTCAAAATCTAATTCTGCCCTTGGTTAAGTAGTAAAACGGTGATTAAATTAATTTTTGAAGAATAATAAAAAGGTAATTGAAAAAAATATACTCACCAATATCATAGAATCCAACTTTAATAGCTGCAACTACAACAACTACTGCGTGAAGACCTGAAGAACATTGTCTGTTGACAGTCCTAATTGGCACAGTTTCTGAAAAAAAAAGGTAAAATCATCTTCACTCATCATTGCAGTTTGGAACTTGGGAAAATTTAACAATGGAAGTTCACTATATCAGGCAACCAGAGATCCTTCCTTCATTAACAAATTTGAAACTTGGTGCATTGTTGGTCTTTTATGTCCTAAAGATGTGATTTTCTAAAGAAGGATTTCCATTTGCATTGTGGAGGCTTTATCTCTTGGCTAGAAAGCTCATCTAAACTAGCTTTTAGGGCTTCTGCACTTGCCTTTTCTTCTTCCACTTTCCTTTGCCAACTTAAATAGTCTTGCCATTTGAATGTCTGCAGCCATTAAGACATCAACTCTTGTTTTTCACTTAATGGGGAAAGAACTTAATTTCATAAGCTATATACGTGAGTATTTCTTTTTTTACCTCATTGGTGGTAGTATTGCTAAGACAAATTAAAGGCTTGAATGATACCAAAGAAACCACATAGAAGAAGAGAAACTATTGCCAAGAATACCATTACAAGTATCTGAGTGTTGTAAGAGTTCACCAACCACTGTTGAAACAAACAAAAACTTGTCACACGTTAACAAATACAACACATCAATATTAAAAAAATATTTTATCTTATAATGTGTAAATCACCACAAACAAATAAAAGATTCCAGAAGTAACCTGAACAACATCTGGAGTTAGACTCCTAAATGAATTTTCAATGCCATAATATGCTGCAATTAGAACACAGATATGGATTGAAAACATAAGATTGAAATATGAGCATGAAATGAATAAATATAGATATATTATATGGAGATAAAAGGCACCTGTTAAAATATATACAACTTCTAGTTCCTTCAATCTTCCAGCAAGAACTAAGCCAATTGCAACTGTTCCATATACACAAAGAAAGAAATGCCTACAAATTGAAAGAAAGAATTTTGCTATTTTAGGTTTAAAAAAAGGCTTCATTCTTATACTTTAATGGCTGTAAGTAAACTAAAAATGAGAATTTAAGATTTAACTCACCAGAAAAGAAACATTACGAACTACAGTGTGTTTTTCTCCCCTATGCAATTATTCTGAAACAATGAGAAAAAATGATTAATTTAATATTATTGATTAAATTAATCTGTTGATACGAGTGAGGTATATATAATTGTGAGTTATAAGAGCAACAATTCCTTCTTGCTGACCTAAGCTTCCGAAACTTCGACATTCTGCAAAACCCTGTAACAATTTCACATGTATATATGTATGTAATACTCTTTAGATCTAATATGCTAACCATGAGTTCATTAAATTTACACAAATTGTCAGCTGAGTATTGACTGCTTAAAATAATGATAAGCCGAAACAATAATACTCTTACAACACTGCATACCATTCTCTCCTTTAGTCTGTTATAAAATTCATTCAACAACGATTAACCAAAGATTTATTAGAGCGAGATCTAGAGTACTGGATACGTGACTTGTGTCGAATGAAACAAAACACAAATTTAGGGAGGAAAGAGGTAGAGTTTATGGTGGGAGAAAAAGTATTCTTAAAGCTTCGACAACGATCCTTAGTTGTTATGTGATTTTGGAATAGATTGGAAGTGTAGCAAGCATATCGGATGGAACTCCCTTCCAATGTTGTGATTCACCCGGTGTCTCAACTAAGAAGGGCTTCTTCACCTACTTTTCCATCTCAGTTAACAGATGAATTAGAATTAAGGGCTGTTTTGGAAGATATTTTAGGTGTTCACCACCTTAATCTAGGAACTCCTGAGCAATTACATGTTTTGGTGAAATGGAAGAATTTATCAGCTTTTGAAGCTTCTTAAGAGAACTGGGATTCTCTTTTGAACCAATTTCCCAATGCTCACCTTGAGGACAAGGTGAATTTTCACACTGGGGGGTATTATGAGGTTTACCTACACAAGAAGAAGAAGAAGAAGAAGAAGAAGAAGAAGACAATAATACTGTGTAATTAGAATCATGACTTTAGGCCGGCAGGGGTATTCTAGTCATTTAGCCCAATTAAGTAGGTTATGATGATATAAATAGCTGATCAGTTTCTAAAGGAGTTAGTAAGGTTTTATTTTGTTTCCTTGGGAAAAAACTAATTGGTAGAAAGCTTTTAAATTCATTAGACATTCCACTATCAGTAATCATTTGATTTGAGACCTAATTCCAGTTATAGCATAACATCTAGAGCCCTAATTCCGGTTGCATTCTCAACTTTTCTACAATTTGAATCTACCAGTGTTTTGCATCTAATGATAATGCTATATGGGTAGATTTCTTCAAGTACAACGTTGTAGTAGGGGATGCGATAATAAAGAAATTAATACCTGCAGTAAAATGACACAGTGTTGCTCCAGACCAATTCGTCTGAAAGGACTCGAGAACCATCCATTCCAAACAAATTCCTCATCGGGGTCTTGAACAGAAGCATGACTCGGAAAAGGTCGTGTTATATCCCTTGTTTCACAAAAGTAGTGTTTTCCATCAATATCAAGTTCAGCAAGTTCTTGAATATTCTTTACTTCTCCTTTCCCTTGGGGTTGGGGGAGGTTCATCATAGAGGGCAGGAAGAATGGGAGAAGGAGTTGTGGTCAGAGGTGGGTGGTGTGAGGGTCTACCCAGCGGTGGATGGCCTTGCTCGGTCCACCAACAGTGTCTCAATCTCCGGTCGTCGAATAAGAACCGGACGTACATAGAAACTTGAGCAGATGTGGAGAAGGTATGGGAACAAGCGACGAAGATGCAAAGTTGTCGTAGGATCGCGCTGGAGATGCAAAGTTGGAGAGCAGATATGGAGAAGTGAAATGGTGGAGGTTTGAGAATCGAGAGAGAAGAAAGAAAGAAAGGGGGTTTTCGGCGGGGATGAGCTAGGGTTTTCAGCCGGTGGAAACAAAGCGGGCTTTTTAATCTTTGGGATTTCATTTCCCCCTCGAATGAAATGCGCGTTTCATTAAAATTTATAAAGCGACATAGTTAGACGACGCACATTTTATTTAAGGTGCCCTCCGTGTTTTTTTTTCTATTAGACACTAATTTTAGGGCACGTAAAAATGCGTGCCCTCTATTCTTCATATTTTGGAAAACTGACATCAATTTTTAGGACACGCACAAATCCGTGTCCTCGATCAGCACGTGTCATTGATTGCACATCGTAAAAGGCTGTTTTTCTAGCAGTGAATGCAGAATCTCACGGTAAGGAATCTCTAACGGCTGCCCCGAAGACTCCCCGAGCTATCATTACCAAAATAACACTTAGTCAAAAACCAATAATCCTTCTTAGGGTAAAATGATCATTTTACCCCTGATCTAAATTGGTCCATTCCTAAGGCCCAAAACCATAACATGAAAGGCCCAATACTAGGTAGACTTCCCAAGCCAGCTAATGGCCCACCATTGGCCCAATTTTCTAAATTAGGCCCAACCCCTCTAATGGGCCTAACCCTAGGCCCAAAATAAGACATAGTCTATTAAAGCCCAAATGATGATCCACTAAGGCCCATAGCAACAAAGTCCAAGAAAATGGCCCAATCACAGGAAGCCCAACCCCAAAACCAAGTCCAAGGCAAAAAGGTCCAAACTCTCACTGATGCCCCGAACGCACGACGTTCCCTAGTGGAGCGCTGGGCGCTCGCCACCGACTCAGACCGCGGACCGAAATCAGAACGCAGGGCGTTCCTCAACCCTACGCGGCGTGTTCCCATGCTGGTTCCAAAAAGGCTTATTAAGCACTTAATGCTTAAAGCCATGCTATCCAAACGTAGATCCAAGCCATCTAGGACCTCTAGAATCATAAAGTCAGAGACTTGGTGACTTTGCATGCCCCCAAAAGTCCTAATCTCAAGAAATAGCAATCAACTTCCATAAAAGGGGCTTAATCTCATGCATGGACTCATTAAGACCCTCAAGTTGGTCACTTTTCTGTCTTAGGGACTCAAATAGCACCAAGGGTGGCAATCCTGAGCCTAGGAACGGATTTGGAACAATAAAGCTTCATTATTGGGACCAAAAAGGTCCAAAAACCCACAACAAAATATCTAAGTGTTCATGAAGCAAGTTTTGAACTTTTTACCTCAAGTGAGTGCTAAATAATGATGATAACTCAGATCCTTAAGCTCAAGCTACACAACTTCTCCTTCACTAACTTCCTCTTCCTTCTTCCAAGGCTCCAAGCTACTTAAATGGACTTCACAAGATCAAGATCACACAAATATGAAGAACATTAGGGTTTTTAGGGTTTCTGAGTTAAGGTGGCTGGTAAGGAGGCTGAGGTATGGGACATAATGTTCTTTATATAGGTCCCACACCCTAAAAGTTAGGGTTTGCATTCTGTACGTGAATGCAACGCGTTCCTCAGGGGAACACCTTGTATTCGGGCTCCGCCTCCAAAATCCCGAATGGGTAGAAACAGTCCCCCCTT